GCAACCGTAAGGCGACGAAGTACAATTGACGCCAACAGTCTTGTCACAACCGGGGTCAAGCTGATCCCTCTGTGGTTACCACATTCACTACGCGCCCCTTTTTTGAAAATGGGCACTATCACCGATTCTCCCCAGTTGTCTGGGACAGACTGTTTTTCCGAAATGCAAGCAAACAGATCGGACAAGCGCTGACTGAGGAATTCACCCCCGTCTTTGAACACTGCGGGTGGAAGGTCATCCGGACCGGGAGCTCGGTGGCGCTTGAGGGAACATATGCAGTCGTAAACCTCCGAGGCGGTAGGTGGTTCCACGTTCACCGTCCAGGGTTCTATTTCACCTGTGGGCTGTATATGAGTGCCGGTTGGTGGCCACGACAGTTGTTGTTCGAAGTATTCAGCCCATCGGTCGAGGCGTTTCTCTTTGTTCGAGATGGTGGTTCCATTCTGGTGTTTGATGGTTTCACTCACAGGTGGTTTCCGGGGACCGGTCGCACGGATCAACTGAAATAATCTCCGGAAATTACCGGCTTTCTGGGCCTCTTCCATTTCTTTGGCTTTCTGTGTCCACCATACTTCACGGTCGGATCGCAAGCTCACTTTCACTTGGTGTCTGGTAGCTCTTCGCACCGGGTTATGTTCGAGACCGGTTGGGATATTTATTCGAGATTTAAGTAGTGACACCGTTCCGTCTGATATCCAGTGCTTGAGTGCGCCTGGTTGGGTCGTGCCACAGGCAAAATTCCCAGCACTATGCAAAGAGGTGGCAATCTCGTCCCAGTATGAGTTCACATCTGATGGTGGAGCATTTAGAAGAGACTCTAGAAGACGTTTCTTGTAAGAGACAGCACACAATGCCAAGCGAGTCCAGTGTGAGTGCAAGAGCAGCTTTTTGTCCTGCTTGCTTCAAAGTGCGAACATTGAACGCGGCCAGATAGACTGAGTGTCGAGGCTTGAGGACTGATTTAGAGATTCATAAAGATGTCGGCACCATGTGACCAGCAGATGCTGCACGCAAAACCGATGTATGACGGACGGATTCATCAGTCCTAAGTGCTGGGCCTACAAGGAGAGAGTTATTAATGGGGTGGGGAGAGGGGGAAGAAAAAGCATGTGAAGAAGAAAGAAGGGAAGGGTAAGCAGTAGCCTGTTTTCGCTTACCCGCCCTGCTGTATGCAGCAAGTAAGGCGACCCGGTTGATGGCACCACGCGACGGCCGATGTGGCATGAGTTTACTCGTACATGTGTAATTCATGGTTGTTCCTGGGCTGGGATATTGCCAGGGCGCCCACACCTAGACAGGAGGACGATTAGGGTCCTCAACCAAAGCCTTTGGCTCAAAAGCCTAACTACAAAGCAGCAGTGTTTGGTGGGAAATACAAACACATTACAATTTCTACGGAACAAGTCGCCACATGTTCCAACCCCCAACCTGGAGAGCCAGGAGACTGTGTTCGTCAGATCTCTAACCATTAATCAACCTGGTATGAGGGACTCTGTGAGTATCGCGGGACACTCTCCAGTATAGCTCAATGGATCGCTGAGTTGCGCAAACCGTCACACCACGGTAAGGTCCAGTCTTTTCGTGACGGAGTCGTTTGGCTAATCGGTCCTCTCTAACAACGTACCAGCCACGGTCCCTATTCGATCATATCATCAGTTTTCGATTTCGTCTATTAGCAGCTGTCTGTCGTTCCTTCTGAAACACTTATGTGAATACTGACCCTACGGTTGTCCAGAATCGCTTTTCTATACTTTCTGGGACCACACAAATCTCAGGCAACTCGTATGGATGGCTTGTACATCCCAAAATCAAACAAATTTTCCGGGATATTCTTCTGGACACTCCTCCAGCTGCTCCAGTGTTTGATCTCAATTCACACCATGGTGTGATCACCACATTCTTGTACAATGCCGAGAGTTCATCTTGCTGCATTGTTTAGCTACCTTCTTTCCAACATCGCTTGAATCTCACACAAGCGTGCCTACCAGTATCTTATCAAACGCTTCGCCTCGACCGTGAAACCTGGAGGGCACGGAAAGCTAAAGAAGTGAGAGCGGCAAGGAATTTCCTCTATATTCGGAAAACTTTTCACTCCGTCCTCGAAAACGGTCCGTGGGCGAAACCAGCTAAGATGAAACTGGCGCGATTATCCGGTCGCTGGACCGATACCTGAGCAATCCATGTGGTTAGCTGCCGTCATTTGGTCACGTTGTTGAACTTGACGATGAAGCTGGGATCCGTATGTCGACGGATATTTATAGCCACATGTCTTCTGTCAAGCACCACAGACCTGTGTGGAATGGCTTACCAACAATATTATTCTAGGATGGGATTAGGATTCTCAGTCACCACCTGTCAGATTTATTTACCCCCATTTCGGCTTTCCAAGATGACTGGTGAATTGATAGTAATGCTCAGTGTTACTATGGGAGCCTGCAATGATTGTGACAACTACAAGGAGATCAGCTTGATTTCGCTTATAACGGATTCTGGGTGCCATTTGTGCTACATCGTCTTCTAATGGTCGAGAACAACATGTGAGGTTTCTGCCTAATGTATTCTACATTTAGCACCTCTTCACACCATGAGACGCTAGAACAAACACCCTCATTTTGTCTGTGGGCCTGTATGTCATTCTTCATTTCTGTCACAATAGACTGTCTAGCTTATGGGCTTTCGCTTCTGCTTACTTGTGCTTATTGACCGGACGTGAGTTGACCCATCGGACCGTGTGGCCATTTCTACTGCTCTGGCTCATATCACATGCTTCGAACCGGGTCTACTACCACACACTACAGTGTGTTGCAAAAGCGGTCGTGGGTTGCCGGAAAGTTATCAGCAACCGTATAAGTAGCACATCACATCTATTTACGAAGCACTTCCATATAACGTGAAGCACTCTTTCGGCCACGGCTGCATTCGACCGCAGTTGCTACGTATTCATCCGATTCCTCTAGTATTATAGGGCCATGGCCTTGTACGAGAGATTCCTAGCTGCTGATTTAAGTACTTTCTTTACTTATTGGCTGCTGCTGTCGACCATCGGTCCGGTCCCCCTTTCTCACACAGATAGATATGTAATGGGTGGACACCTTAGCTGAATGACTGCTCGGTACTAAAATCTGTATCTCAAGATTCAACTCCACCGGTGGGTGTACACGGTAAGGGTTTCCCAGCGTCACGAAGTCGAGTAGAGGGTGACTGCGGATACCCTTGATTTTTTAGTCGGTCGTGACCTCGCGGTTCCTGCCCCCTATTCAGGATCACAACACATTTTCATTTTCTAGCTCCAGTTTTCACACCTACATGCCGTATCCTGACCTTTGGTCTTCAAGGTTGCCGCAGTTAGATTAAGGGGACTCAGCCTAACCAGCGTCATCTGTTTCGTGCCTCATGTATTTTCTCCGGGAAAACCTTGGCAGTACCTACATAATTCTGATCACAAAGATGGTTTCAGTGCTCTAAAACTATAAGTCGCACATCTAAAGGTATTTTCGAGATGAAAGTTACGTACCCAATCAGTGAAATGAAGAAATGTTTTAAAGTCACCTTTGACTGGGATTTCGTCCAAGCTGTAGGGGACACCGGGCATTGTATATATTGTTCGAAGCCAAGTGCGGTATCTGATCATTCCCGGGCTCATTCAGGTGAATTCTCAACCTTATTAATTGGTTCGTCTGCAAATCAGAATGTTGGTTTTGAGCCAGCCTGTTATGTTACTGGCTGTTCACATTCAAGTTGTGAGGCGTTGATGCACTCTATAATGCAGTACTCTGTTAGATCCAGAAACCAATCACGCTATCTCTGTAATACTTTTTAAATCCGTCTTTATCTCAGATATCGGTTCAATCATGCACGTGAGCTGCCTCAACCCGATCCAGGATGCGGTTTCGTGGACTGACAAGCCGTTCAGTTATTATGTGCACACAATCGACCGTTCATTGGTACGTACTTTTTTTTTTATCATCGTCGCTTTTTCGGATGGTTTCATTGCTACAAAGGGTTATAGATGTAGCGTCCTGTCAAGTTCACACAATACTGGATAGCACCACTACAATATGAGGATGTGAGTCGCTGCTCATGTGCTCATCCCAATACGTTACCCATCTTTTTGGGGATCATCACTTTTGAAGACTGTTCTCATTTTTGCCTCTGCGTTGTCGTTAGTATATAGTCAGCAAAATTATCCCTGTAATTTATTTCTTGGTGAGAGGGAAATATGATCTCGGTGTTATTGCGATTGTGTTATCTGCGATGTTATTGATCAAGGTTCCGTGGGTGTATTTCAGCGTGTTAACGGTGTCTTGCCAGAATGTAACTCGAGGCAAGCCACTCAAATGTTCTAGATTTCCGAATTTTTTTTCATTTGGCTTCGAAATAATTGACCCATCGTCTATTCAAACATTTCGTTTTTAGCTTGAACGGTATTTCTCTCGCTTGAAGAATCCGAATCTAAAGGTATGTCTGGGAGGGTTTTCATGAGGTACACTTGACGAATATATGCGCCTGTCCACATCCGTTGATCAGCTCTTCCCCGTATTGGGTTTCACAGTTCTAAACAGCCGTTCCTTTTTTCATCCTGTTTTGCTTAAACGTTGTATTCAACGCTTATCCGAGTAGAGTACTTTGATTATAACAGCTCATCGAAATTTCTCTCTAGCGACTTTGTACATCAATTAACAAGGTTGATTGGTTATATTGTGCACTATTCTATCTCGCCAACTATTTTACGATGACTTCTCTACCGCGAGCATTCCTGTGTATGACGGTCGCAGGAAGTTGATTGTCCGTTTCTCCGGAAAGACAGCATTGTACTAGAAGGTTGGTCAATATCTAGGCGTACTGTATGATGTATTTCAGTAGTTCGCGACTAGTCAGACATGCACTTACGGCATTTCTATGGATGGATCTGAGGTACTACATGTTTGGTCCTCGAATTGTACTGTGATGTTCACTCTCGAACTCCTGCGAATCTTTTTATGCATGCTAATTCATTTTAATGAAATTAGTGTAGACGATGGCCTGAAATGAGCTATGCTGTGGCCATTTATCCATCTCATCAATGAATAGCCGATTGCTTCCTCGTCTGATCAACAGACCAAATAAGGACACAACGTGTTCTATTGTGCTAGCGTCGTACGATATTTCAAGGTACAACTGGGAACGGTTTCTTTTTTGGACCCCACTGGATTTTAATCCAACGTAAGATACTGGAATTACATCCGTAGTTGAAGGATATATGTGCACCTTTCGGACCAAACAGTTGATCTTGGTTGTTGAAGACAGGCTATACTCGTACACCTAACCTTCTGCATAATAAGTACACAAACTCAACTTCAGGTTATGAGCTTATCGGACACATGGCGTTTGTTGATAAGGGCTTCACTTCACGCATGTATCGGACACATTCGTTTTCTTAAACGTCCCAGCATAAGCCGACCTAATCAGCATTACTAGTTCAGCTCCATAATTGGCTTCATTAACCGCAATAACAATATTTTTTAAAATACGCCGCCCTTGGGGACACGGACGCAATTCAAAACCATTGACCAACAGTTACATGAAGCTCTGAAATCTCTGATGAACACATGAGCGGAGTTAAATTCAACGTGGATTGACGAAGGATGCATAGTCACATGTTTCGAGCTTACACTCCAAATGTCGATTTTAAACGAAATTTGTCTGATCTCGCACCTACTTGTGAAGCGACTGCAACTAAACCATGAACTGAGTTGGCTCATAAGCAACACGTGACTCACCTTTATTTACTGAACATGCCGTGATATCGTGGCCTCCAGTGTGTATGCCGAAATTTACACGTTACACACTGCCGCAGTGGTAGAGTCGATGTGGTGCTCAGACAACGGATTTTCTTTTTCACAAAACCCGTTACTGGTGGCATGTTTGCCTACGAGTCTTGTGTTCCTACTTGTTCAACGCTCGTGTCTTTCGTGTTCCGAGGTATTCAGCATCTTGTGCGTCAATAGTTGCCGAATTTTCATGTCCTAGCCGTGATCTTTACTGCTGATATTCATAGCTTAATAGGACTTCTGAACCAGTCTGTTAGAAACATTGAGAAATGGGAGCAATAACAGTGGCTTAGTTATTTGTACTTTTCACCAGTTACCTGATGTTAATTTTTCTCTGATGAGCCTTAGTTCCAGGTTTTTCAAGTTGTGTGGTTATACCAACTAACCTGGTGTCTGTTTGTCGCTGGTTATCTCTACTTTTTCCCCGCACGATTCATTGTTTTGCTTTCATTCTTCCTCAAGGATGAAGCTGAGATTGTTCGTCGTGACCGTAAAGGACGAATTATCTCTGACCAGACTTCAAAGGAAGTGAGTGAACAAGTTATCATTCAACGTTCAAATTGTTTCACTCACTCACCTCATCATCATCATGGACAGCATGACATCAGCGTTCAACTGAACTTTCTCCGTAGGACACCGTTCCACTAATTCATGCTCCGCTGATTCCATGAGATGCTTGTTTTCATGCTTTTTTTTACCAAACGATAGATTTTATCGACCAGATTGCTAACCAGTTGATTTAGTGTACCCGAGAATTGGTACCACTTGGGTCATCGATATAATGTTTCTTCAGTTGATCGTGCGTTTTTCCCCCTAATTTCCTGTTTATTTCTTGTTCTCGTTTTTGTGCCTACCGTTTTTCTAGCATAATTCTGAATGCCTCCTCATGTTTTGTTCCCACTCTCATCTTTCAAACACACAAGCTCAGAAAAATAAAAACCAATTATAAGTGCACCGTAGCTTCTCTAAAAGTGGCGTATTCTGCTTATACGTAGTACACGGGAATCGTTCTCGAAAGCAAGTCGGACAGTTACGGTGAACGGGTTGGTGCTTTATTGATTGCTGTTGAGCATTTGTCTGTAAGGAAAGAGGTGCAAAGATTACAACGCTAAATACCTCCTTTCTTTGGAGTTGTTCAGATTATATTTTGAGCTGGGTACACGAAGGTCACTAATTGTGAAATGTTTTAGGAAGTTTGATATCTCACAGTGCGATTTGATATCATTGAATACTGCTTGGTATCGTCATCCAACACGCGATAGCTAAACTGGCTAGTTTGAAGTTACTGGTGTTTGGTAATTGGTATCGGCTTTGTGCTTGTCGTATTTGGCGGATTATTATGTGGATAACTTAGTACCGTGTGGATTTCTCGTTCCGGGTGGGAACTTTTTTTCACCGTTTACAGTAGTTGTGTCATATACTGTCTGCGCGGCGAATTTTACTCACCGCCTTGTTCTCCTACACCGAATATGTATAGTTGGAAACGTTGGCGGATGTGACTAAATGTAGAAGTAAGTGGATTAGATGCATACTTGATTCTATTATCCCTTTTCTTTAACAAATGTGATCAAACATAAAAGTTCAGAACCCTCATGGTTGTCAAAATGCTTGCAAAACATTGTCTTAATTCATTGCGTCACCCATGTTTGGCTCCTCCCTATAGGATGGGGTGACTTTCAAGGCTATGCCACACAAGGCTGACCATTCCAGGTCGTTACCAACTGCCAGCCGTAATCGTCGTTCAAGATCTCTCAATTGTGTCACATCCAGAAAGCATTCTCAGTCTAATCCCAGGAATTTGCGTTCAAACGGGCACAGCTCCATTTCTCCCGAACTGGTAAGCTGAAAACTGTGAATCAGTCTGTGTCACCGAAGACAACTGTGAAGTCTATGGAGGCGAAGTCTACATCATCAGCTTCCCCGAGAAAATCCACACCATTGAGCGCGAGGGTGCGAAGACGTTTGGCTGCTCTATCACTCGCTTCGACGGCCTCATCCAAGAGTGAAATTCAAAGGTCATCAAGTTTCCCAGCTCTCACAACCACTTGTAGTGGACATACCACCCCGTCCGGCTCAACTTCGATTGCCTCGGGCGCTTTGTCAAATGAGGAATGTTCCACTTTGGTTAGTGCGTACACTGAAATTGATAAGCAAAAGCAAGAGGCTGATCTCTGCTATTCTCCTCCAGACGATGCTCATCTCCATCACTCTTCAGGGTATCGTCCCACAGCGACCTGTTGGACCTCTTCATCATCCTCATTTGCATCGTCTATATCTTCTGCAAACACTCGATCCCCCGCACAGTTACCTGATGAGATATTTGTTCACCCTTGTTCCGATGCGGTCGTTACATCTAGTGATCTCAGGGAGCATCCGGCGTTAACTAACGGTATAGTAACCAAAGGTTAGTCGCGGTTGTCGGTGTTTTTTGTATTTTTTCGATTTTTTGGTTTAGATTCAGTCGCGACATGTTTGTTTCCAATTGTGTTGTCGTTAAGACTGCATCCCACACATTATGGAGTTGTTTCGATTTTGAAGACCAGCAGTTTTGTGTAATCAGGCTACGATAGTCGATGCAACTTCTCTTCCGCTGCACAAAGCTGGTGAAAATTTTTGTTAGGCTGATTACGTATTACGTCATTATCCTGGGAATAGTGGTGAACCTGCAAAAATTTTGCGGGACTGCTTCCGTCTAGAAGTTCGGTTATTCAGCACTGAACTGTTGGTTCCATCTGCTGGGGCTTCATTACCGAGAATTCAAAGTTTACTAATGGAAGGTGACTGAGTATGGCGGTATGATGACTCTGAAGCAGCTTCCAGTCGAATGCGATCATTCCTCGTTTGATTCCAGTGAGATTGCCTCTCCGTTTCGCTGCTTATTTTTCTTCATTGTAGCTTTTGGGCTTCGGTAGCAGCCTTTCTTTAGGGGCAAAATCATTTCAGGCAGAGTACTTTTTCTATGTTGGCACGTACGCCGTAAAAATAGTGGTTCCTAATAAACAGAAACGCAGGAAATAAAATGTTCCAAATTAAGAAGTCTTTTGGGCAGAATTTGACTTAAAAAATTGGTCAGCACTTCAGTTTTGTAGAGACGAATTGTCCGCTGTTATGGAGCCACTTTTCCAGACCACATATCACGCCGAAGTAGTGTACATGCATCTAGTACCACTCGTTTCAAAAGAGCTATTCAATTGGCGAAGAACAAGTTATTCAGTAATGAGTCTGTAACTGAGACACGTGTACATCAATAGAACAAACCTGCATAATTTGTCTTCCGTCACTTCTAACGGTAGATTAGTCTAATATGGCTAGGTCTGGATACGTTCCACAAAGCAATAATATATCAGAAAAGCATTTTTATGTAAACTGAAAACTGACATAATCTCTTGAAACCTGATTATTATTAAGTTCTCGCGCACTGTAACCGTGGTATGCCCCTCAGAGGGTATTACTGGTATCCTAAGCTAAACTACTGATTAAGCCGGGCTGAGTCAATTTGGACAAGTGCGCTGATGTCGGAGGTTAATATGGCGGAAATGCTGATGACATCAAGTATACAAATGGACGGTCAACTTCCTAATCTAAGTTATTGACGTAGGGTTGGTAGTTTCCTAGAGGCATTCCCTAGATGAAGACTAATTCCATTTTGAAGGTGTCAAAGCATGGTTTGATGGTGGCTATCCACCAGCATTTATACCTTTTCGTCTTTAACGATGGGGACGATGTTGTTCGCGTCCTTCGGATCGACCGTTTTCTCACTGACAGCAAATTAAACTTCGAAGTATTAGAGATGCGTCAATGTTTGTCTCACTATTTCATCGATTACCAAGTTCCTAAAGAAGCTTTTGGGAACTGTCCATATGCTTCCGGATGTCTTGAAGTACATGTGTATCGGGAAGTCAACATAATCGTGGACTTTTGAAACACTCTGTTTAGCTGCTGTCTTCAGTGAACCGATCGATTGGATGTAATGCGTTTTTGAGGCCAAGAATTACGGGTTGCTGACGGGTGGATATAAATATATGGTCCATACAATCCCCCATCCATCGAAATAGCGCTTCTTGCTAAAGTTCGAAGTTTTGCCTACCACCCTAAAACAACAGAGAACCAGCAGCGGCAGAATGTTGTTATAACGAGGACCTAATTCGTTTCTGTGAGGTTGATGCTTTCACTGCGAACGCTTTGTGAAAATGACCACTATCACTGACTCACTCTGGCCATCCAGCTCAGGTTCCTTATCTTTGATGATCCGCTTTAATGAAAGCATATTCGACGTGCATCTACAACTGACGTTCTTTGACCTTATGGATAGTATGAAAATGCACTTTAATATCTTATAGTTTCCACTGAAACGTGATTTAGTCATTGTGCAACATGTGTGGTTGAGAAATGATATAAGAGGTTCAAGTCTCGTTAACATGAAGGTAATTTGCAAGTAAGTGTTTACGCACTTACAAATTAGTGTTCAAGTAATAAGTAATGTTAATGCGAATCCGGATACTGGGCCTACCCGGGTGAAACTCGTTTCGAGCTGTTCAGACTTTTCATCAAACTTATGCGTGGTATTGGTAGTACGTCTGCAACAACTGTTAAAGTAATTTTAGCTCACCAAGTAAGTCAGTTTGATTGGCTAGCCGTGCTCTTCTTCACTCGAATTTTCGCGATATGGACTGCGAATCCCAATGATAATGGCAATCTAATAAAGGCGAAATTCCGCGTTCCAGCTCAGTTTATTATGTATGAGGATAGGCGTTTATGGTGCGAATTTGACTAGTTGCACTGTTTGTTTTCCACTTTTCAGAAGGTTGTCATCTAACAAACCATGCACTGTAGCGTACTGCCCTTCTCGGATGGTGGCTTGAACAACATAGGAATTCCGAGCATAACTTGGTTTTGGAAATTCATTCACCATGCTATGTTATATGTCAATCTTGGTTTCAGCGATTCGAAATGTGGGAATAGGTCTCCTCGCGTATGCTTGTTCTACCGTTGCCCAATACCGTTTAGGTATACTTTTCGTCCAGCTGTAGCACCCTTTCGGTGCCTAAGGACGAAGACACCCGAAAGAATCACGAGAGCTAGGATACTGACAGGTTGCCTAAGCCCAGACAGGAGCAGGGTGGCAGGACATCTGGACACCGAGAGAGTGTTACGACTGAACGACCGTTGTTTATTATTATTAGGATTCCAGTAACCGAGCATGGGTCACCTTCCACCAAAATCGGCAGTCACCTTTTTGTGACTTTTAGGCGATCAAATACATAGAAGCAATAAAAGTGTTATAACCAAACAATGGACTTGGCCTAGAGCATATGGTTGGTTTGCTATATTCAGGAAAGCCCTGAGTTAGTCAGAACCATAGGATCATAACTATAGTACAAAAACGGTGCCAGCCAGTGTTCATGTATTCTTTGTCTCGTCTTATCCACTTGCGCATATTTAGCAACCTATTGTTACAGGAAAACTGAACTAGAAGAAAGACAATATTCTACACTCATCGTTTCGTTCCTCTGAGTATCTTTACTGGGTTCCCTTGACTAGGCCTTTTTCTGAACCCGCTGTCGGCTTATGGGATGAAAAAAATGTTCCTTACGAAGATAAGCTCATCATCGTCCCACTTCCAAAATAACTTTGACAGTGCGCGACGGTCTGTTGACCGATTATTGACGTAGGGAGACATGGAGTTGGGTGAAAATGAATCCAGGAATACAATGCGAAAGAAGACAAAGACTTTTTGGACGGGACTTGAACCCTTCACTTCTTGATTACCAATTATTTGACCAACCACAAACTGCAACCCATTCGTTCCAACGCATATTTGACCTTGTTCTAGCTATTTGCTTTCCCATAACCTTTCTAGATTTAGATTATCTTACTGCGTATGTTTAACTCGTGCACCTATTGTTCTCTCGCAGTTGTTCATCAGGATGGTCGTCGACCAAGTCAGTTCACTGATTCTTTGAAAAACAACACCTCGGATGAACCGGAATCGAAATCCGTTAACGGTGATGTTACCCTTGTTGCGACTTCGAGTTTGGATATCGAAGCGAATACCAGTGTTGCTAAGCGTCGGGCTGTTCGAAAATGCCGTCAGTTAATTACTTCTACTAGTGGTCCCTCCAATGCCTTGTCAACAACTGGCGAACTCACAACCTCTGAGCAGAAACGGGATCGCAGAAGCCTGCGCAAATCGGGATCTCTCTCAGGTACACGAAGAAGGAATGCCAGAACTCAGCTACGGACCCCAACGAATCGGGTTGAACAAACTGTCTTGAAAGCACATTTGAATGCACTTCATGACGAAGTTATTGCTCAGGTTGCAGGAAAACCTTGTGAAGCCTTCGGCAAGAATGAACCGGTCATGTCCTCCTTCACAGCTCATTATCAACCTTGTGAACTAAGATCTCTGAAGGAAGCAAAGGACCATGCAGCCTTGACTTCAGAAGACGTGAGCACCGGTTGTTCCGCTCGTGTGGTTCCTCTCGCTTTAACACAGTTTCTCGGTACGAAGGATTTTTTCGTATTTCGTTTTAAAGTTTTTGGGGAAATGGTGAATCGGAACAGAGATGTTTGTTGCCTATGTCTAATCTCAACTCGATAGGTGACAAGATAACGGATATCCCAGGCATATCTAACTGGACCAACTTAACTCGCCACAATCCCTGATTGCTGTCTACTTCATTACATTCTTCTTGGTACTCACGGCCTTCTTATGAGGTTGCATGCGTCGACATCTGTTTTGTGTAGTTTTCCTGTCGGAGGCTGATCTGTATTAGTAATTAATCCAGAAACACTTATTCTGCGGTTCAGTTGTCTTTGGGAATTTGAAATAGTTTATCCTCTTACGTCGAAGGATTTAAAACTTAGCGACAAACAGGTTGTATGGAACAAATGCGTGAATTCTCTAACAGCTACCCTCATGTTTGTAAGCCACCCACCCTTCTATCCACTTGGTTGCTGGTTGGCCAGGAGATTGGTTAACTATTGACCGGCTAATACAGAGCGTGACCTTTGTGTTCGGTAGTGGTGATAGTTCTGACTGCCCGTTTTTTTTCAGCCGTCTGACTCATTGTACCCCGTGCACCGTCTCGTCACTGTCATGGGCATCGTGCCATTGATATATACACTTTTGTGCTGTTTTTGTTTACCTTCTGTCACTTCTGTTTTCGTCCCCGTTTTTGCACACACGCATACTGCCTCCCTTGCTGGTTACACGTGACCACACTCTCATGCCGCCGTATTACAGAGTTATCTAAACGCGTGTTCATGGATCACTTTGGTATGCTACAATCTCCGGCCTATGCGTCTACTGTGCGTCAACAACTGGAGTTGGAGCAAGCAAGACAAGCAAAATTGTTAGAGCACACTCGGTCTACGGAACAGGCGATCGCCAAGCTGCACGCTGATGGAACCGAATTGTTACACCGTTTCACCAAACGAGTGAGTCTTTGTTTCGTAACATTTCTGTCTGCATTCTGTCAAGTGTATGGGTACATCCTTCAGCGGCGAACCTTAAGAAGACGCCACTATTGCTCTACCTCTGGGTGATCTGTCCACGGGACAAGTGTTTGTGCTGTGCTCAAGAGTGAACATTTGATCATGAACTGTGGCGATGTGTTGAGCAACCATCACCCGCAGGCTCCAGTCTCCCCACTTTGGAAATTTACGTAGGACAACTATCTGACCCAACCTATTCCATGTTTTCACCAGATAGGTCATCGGATCTGACACTTGCAATCGCCTCTGGTCGTTTTTCTATCTGGTTCTTTTTATTGTGTGGGATTCTCATATGAAAACACCTCTTCTTACTGATATCCTTCAGACACCGTTGGAACAACTTTTTACTTGTATCACGGCGGCCTTATATAACTAGTTTGTTTCCGAGTGCCTGTGTACCGAGATGGTCCAAGTGGTTAGAGCGCGAATTTACTGACCGCAAGGTCCGTGGTTCGAACCCGACCTCTACCTCTCGACTTCCTCTGTCTAGGCTTGGCCAACCTGGCAGTATCCCAGCCATCGTGCTTCCTACGGGCGGCATGGCAGCTAGGCACCGAAGGGGTGCTGCAGCTAAGCGATTGTTGTGTTGTTTTGTGATTGTTTTGTCTGTAACGGGCTTATTTACTTGGCTGTTTCGTAGGATACCTCCTTTCTGTGAAATGCAAGTTGGGTCATGTTTCTTCTCCTTATTTATTCTGTAGCCTCTATCTTTCAGCATGGTATAAGTTATTTCCTTTGTTCACTTATAAGCTGTACAAGTGGTAATGTGAAATAGGCCTCCTTTTTTACTTTGTTCGACCAAATGTGTAGCGGATAGTCTTGTTCCCCCGTTCGTCAAAGCACTGTTTATCACAATTTTGGTTTATATAACCGTTCTGCAGGTTTTCATCCATCTTGCCATGATACCTTACCGTAAAATTGAATCCTACCCTTGATTGGGATTTTTAACTTGGTTGTTATTGATCTATACCCCTACTACACCTCTGCTTCTTGTTTATCCACGTCGTCTTGGTAGCCCCAGGCAGATATCACCCTATATTACAGTGTCGTATGATATGGGACAGAACATGACTGACAACAGTATCTCACTGTTTAAGGCCCTGTTGGTGTTAATTGTATTGTCATCATGCTTAGGCTGACTGGTAGATATCAACATGCCTCCGTGGGTTTGCCTGCAGATCTTATTCCTTCCGATCCACATCGGGCCCACAGGCTCTACCGCAGCAACATATAGGCTCCTAGCAAACCGTTTTTGAGCACGCGTCCAATGGTCCACTGGTCCGTATCCGATGCCAGTCAGCCATATTCGTCTAACAAATCTGTCTCTTTCTTACTTGATTACCTAACGTACTGGGCACTTGTTTGATTTTATTCATGTAACTGTTCGTTCTGAATTCTTCAGTTCTAGATATTAGGCGTGTTTAGTGTGCACTATTGTGAATTGCTCTGAATATTGATCTCAACAGTGTGCGCCTATGATCGTGTGTACAGGTTTGTTTTCTCAGTGCTCTGATAGTGTGTACCTGCGTGTTCGCCGCTTTACTTCCAAAAGTCGTATGGTTATCATAGTGGTGATAGCCACACTCAGGTACTCATCGACACCCTGCTTCTAGTCTTAACTACCCTCTGTGTGCTGTCAAGTTAGTGTCAGCTAAAGGTGCACATTCTTAAATGTAAGATAACGGGCGTCGCGGAATCATGTTCTGTTTATCTGACCATACGATTCGATGTTACCTTGAGGATAATGGTGAGAATTCATGGTTGATTGATAGTCATCGTTGTTTCAACTACTGAGTAACCCTGATCAGCACCAACTCACACCGAGTTTAATCATTCAGTTCATTATTTATTCTTGGATCTCAAATGTTGTACGTGAAAGAGAATGCAGATGGTCCGACTGGCAATAAGACAAACAACATGCTTGCCCAGTAACTCGATTAGTCTACTGTGTGAGCGATTTGGCGCGACGTTTCTTACCCCTTACATTTTGCTCCATTTTTCTTCAAATACTTCGTTCGTAGTTCACTTCGAACACTACAAGCTCTAGAAAAGCTTTATTGCGGACGTGAAAACTTGCGGACAAAAATTTGCACCAACAGTAGGGTAACGTTTTCACATGGATTGTTGTGAGGACAGTATCTATTTTGACTAATGAGCCTTTAGTATCGGAATTTCCACCCGTGGTTCTCACCCAATTTTCACCCATATTGGGGAACAGCAGTTTGCACGCCACTTCGACCACACTTATGCACAGGGTTTCAGCTAATGGATTAACCGATGTCTGTAACCACTTAGCGAGGACGAACGTGTAAAGACGTTCTTAGCGTATTGGCCCAATGATCTCGTTGTTTGTTCAGTGGTGAGGGTCGTGATCCATTTCAAGTGTTCCTTATTGGTACCCACTTGATTCTCCAAAGTCCGTGCACATCCTTGAGTGGATGTTGTTTGGCGTTGGTGGTGTAATCCGGGAAAAACCTAGTAATGCTCTCCTAACGAAAACCTCTCTCGGGTCGGCTCATTTTCACGCAGCGGTGAACTAAGATAAACTAAACAAGACTACTTTTTTGATGTTGGTCATTATTCTCGAAACTCAGGCTCATTTCGTATTTAGAATTTTCCAGCCTCTAGTCAATTCTTAGGGCGTTACTTCACCGCCAGCTAAAACTACGCTGTTGACTCAAGCTGCGTCATGTTGCGCAGCACTCAGTCCAACTCTGCAGTGATTCAAACGTTTCCATAGCTCTGTATTTTGTGCGTCGTGTTTTCTTGTGAATTTTGTTGTAAGGGACAGCTGGGTTCTTCCAAAGAAGCAGTTGACTTATTTATTCTTCATCTTATAGAAAACTATTCTACGCGACCGATCCCGTGGTCACGGTCTTGCTGCTACATGTTTATTGGTTTTTGTTGATCCTGATACCTTTGTAGATGAATTTTTTTTATTTGTGTTAGCGTCTTCCATTGTTATGCAAAGATGTGGTGGGTTTTTGTCGATGTTAATGAACAACACACCCGAGGTTCATTCCACATTGTCTAGACCTGCGTACTCACTCTAAGCTGGCCACACTAACAACGCAACGCTTATCAGGTGGTTCTTTGTGTTTTTCGACTTTGTTTTGGTAAGCTACCTAATAGTGTGAGCGATGATGTATATGTACGATAACCTTGCTCTAAAGTTCCTTTGCTCGATAATGCGTGTCAGAGTGATTTGTGTTCGATTTTCATACCCTTTTGGTTTTGAGACAGCTGCCTGGAGCAGTGCAGCTGAGACGTTTTCAGGTCTCTGATAACCACTGGCTTAGAACAACAGTTCGTGTCCGTTGTTACCAGAAATCCACAGCCAGACACTTGGAAAACGAGGGTTATGGCACTTTGGAATAACTGCAGTTTTCCAATAAGTGATGGTAATATATCAACGAAGCATCGGTGTTGGACTCCAAAGTTGGAATACTCGATAGAGAACCTTGTATTTCAGTTATCCAACATAGGTGAGTAGTTCGTTAGGTAGTATTCCTTCTCCAAAGTGCTTTCCTATTCGGTAGTTCAGCTGTTACTCCTTTTACTGCATCTAATCTGCGGTTCTATCCCATTTGGGTGTTTTTGAACAGCCGATAGCCACGGAATTTATTACTCCAATTAGTTAGTTCTGCTAAAGCTTGGTTTATGGGACGCCTACGTACACTTTTAAGGCTGCCCACGGTCTGCTTCGGCAGGGTTGAACACAGGATGCAGACGAAAAGATAGACCCGGAAGTCATGTGCTCACATGTCCAGTCTGGCTAAAAATAAGGGATGTATTGTGTGTCTACATATAGTGCACCTGTGACTTACGCACGCTGATCCCGAGAGACAGTTCCTTTATCACGCATGATTTGTTTAGCAAACAGAAGCACCTGACTTAACGGACTACGTGTTCATGCGCTCGTAATCTTATGCGTGTCACGTGTGCTATCATGTGAACGTAAGCTTTTCGTTTTCATCTGATTTTGGTGAACGTGTCGTAGTGATCAACGCTTAAACTCGCTTGTTTGAGCTTGTAGATTTTGTGAACCACAGAAAACCTAAGCACGTTTATTATTTTGTCACTTTTTCCAAGTTTTGTTCTCTTCCCAGCTACTTTGACACCGCCGTTGTATTACACACTGAGCTGTTCAGCTCTTCTTGAAAATACTTGACTCTATGGCAATGCCATGGTTTGTGTACCTCGGTAAAATATTCAGTCATATTACAGAATAATAGCAAAACAACCGTCGGAGCTCTTCTGCCTGGTTGTATGATGAGTAAACTCTGACATACGCAGTCCCCTGAATTGTCGGGTCGGAGTGTAGGACAGTCCGAGCCAACTGTTCTTTAAAAGTGCCATTCTGATAGTGTTACACCTCCACTGGCATCTTGAAGACAAGATTTTGAGCTACAGGTCTTAGTTATTGACCATGCTCTGTTTCTGTCAAGGTTGGACACAACGTCATTCTATATAAATTTCGTCGAACTACTCACGGTAACTTTACAATGATGAGGGTTCTTTATTTGATATCTGATCAACAAAGCATAAACTTGGAACAGCTATTATTATTACCGTGAGTTTGTCTCTGAAGATACTTACAGTAGCTTAACCTCCCCGGGAATTCACCAACACAACGCCAGTCTGTTTGTCACCATCTTCGGATACAAACAAATTAGCGGACATTACAACCCTAGGTATCCATATTCCGATCGGTTTCTATCGCATTTTCCTGTGGCTAAATGTATACTGCCCTGGAGTCGAATATATTTGGTGCTTGAGGCCCCCGTACTTCGTTCCCCATGGGATCTAACGACACATATTCGATGATGCAGTCGAATTTATCTGAAGCTGCCGAATTCATACTTCGACTGCATTTATGATGGTGCGAGTGATACGTCTTAACACTAGATGTTCTTTCTGTTGCCTAGCTGTGGAAGTAAAGTGCTTCTCCAAAGTGGCGAGACTTCTCGTCTATTGTGCTGTCCACTGGCGCTCCCTGAAAGCCTCGTTCGAAGTTGTAGAAGAGGATGTCTCTATGGATTTGAAGCGATGGGTATATATTCACTTACCTAAACCATCCTGATGACACCGGCTTGTTTCTGATTGTAAGGGAGTTTACACAACAAAAACCACCTGTGTGTACTGCAAAGGTCGATGGCTGTCTGTATGAAGTCTTCAGTACCGTCGTACGGTAGTAAAATCGGGCTAATAAAAAAGAGCACCGTAGAGCAATCAGTGCTTCCATTCATTTTCGTTTTGTCATATTGATTGTGTATATTGGGACATCTGACAATTGCTTTATTGTTCGCGTGCGCTGGATAAAAGAAGCAATGACTTAGATGTCTTGGATGAAATAAGACACATCACTCTTCCAAGCTGAGGTCCAAGCTAGTTGTTTTAAAGATCACTTACTTCACGATCACCCTTGACGCCGTGCTCTAGCTCCACGAACGATTTTTGTTTCATTTTACTTCGATTACTTTTCAGTTGACTTAAGCCAACCCACATTTCCATTACATTTCCGCTGGCTGTGTTGCCACAACGGACTAATCTGGTGTTTGTTCATGTTGATGACAAATGTAATGCGTTAAGCTCGCTTGAGTTTATAGTTTAAGCCCTGAACTTCTTGCCAACTGGTTTCAGGTGCCGTACTCTATCGTTTCTTATGCGCTCTCATGTTTTTCTTATATATATGCAACTGGACGATTTGCCTAGTAAGAAGAGTTTTACTGGTTCACACTATGATTGACATCCAAATTTTGTAGCCGCCCGATCTCATTCCTGTATGACTCTTTTCTGTGGTTCGTTCACAGCTTGGGATTCTGATCTCCACACCTTCGGCCTTCTTTGCGCAAGCACGCAAACTGATCAAGCATCATCACATGTTAGAGGCGAAAATTTCTGAATATCGGAAACAGGTTTGTTCTTGTGTTTTCCTAGATCAGGTTCTGTGACTATTTATTTTCCCTTATCATTTTCCATCGTATGCAAGCAGTATCCTTTGAACTGTTAATTGCGCAGCTGTTCTCTCCATAAGTTTCGGAGTGGTATTGATTTCAACTTACGCATCGTCAGACCGTTAAGTTTTGGTTTCCACTGTTTTATATCCCGGTTCTTCTTACTGATAAATTTGGGGTCACCTATTGATTTGGAGTGTCAACTTTGCACGCTTGTCACGTTGTCTTGGCTGAATCAGCTTTCTCAACACCTTTTTTCACCGGTTATCGTTCTTGACCGATGACAAGATTTGCACCGTTTGCTGTTCGTACTCCGTTTGGCATCCACGAACCGTAGGTATCCTAGTAGCCCAAGCGTTCCGAGTTTATTTCGGCATTCGGCAGTTCAGTACGGCGGGCTCATAAATGTTTGTCTACCTTGCCATGACCATCTTTAGCTATGCCCCACCTACGATGTAGTTTAACTTGACCGTGCTTTTAATGCACATACGTTATGCGGTTTGAGGATAGAGGGGGCGAGGTGGGTCGAGTGGTCTGAACGCGAATTTGCTGACCGGAAGGTCCATAGTTCGAACCCGACCTCTGCCTCTCGACTTCCCCTGTCTAGGCTCGGGCAACCTGGCAGTGTCCCAGCCCTCGTGCTTCCTTCGGGTAGCATTGCAGCTAGGCACTGGAAGGGTGTTACAGCTGAACGATTTATTTTATTTTAATTTTTATTAAGGACAGATATCCTCTATGAACAGCATCAGTAACATCGTTCTTTCTTGCCCGATTCTGGGGGCGTGGCTGTAAACCAATTACAGAAAGCTTTGTCTTTGTGATGGAGTGGAACGGATGGGTGTTTCGGAGTTACGCTTTACTGCGAGGGGATTGCGCTGGAAAATGTCTCCTAGAAACGGGCCTTCGTCTTTGCAAAGTAATGTGTCAGAATAACTAGTCTCACGTGCATTCTGACGAATTCAAGCGATAAATTCAGACTGATTGTTTGACAAAGCTGACAAATTAGTTTGGGCAGCTCATCTTCGGAAAGACGGTACGCAGTGTTATTCTGCTCACCAAGTCTAAGATCCAATTCCGAAAATCCCCAAAATAGTCTTCCAATTTTCCTAATCTTGACCAACTCAAAGACTAAAATCTCCCATAAAGAAAAGATATCACCTGTGTATATGTCTTGAACGCCGCTCGACAGCCTCTCCAGCAGCGTGACTAAATGGGCACCCTATAATTTAAAAGAACGCCTTCGTGCGAGTTGAGTTAGAATTGCCATCGTTTTGGATGTGTGCAGTTTGCTTGACTTTGTAGGCAGATATTGCAAATCCGTCCGTCGACCGTCCATCTAAACTTCCGTTCAGAAGAAAATGCTTCAAATGGCTTATCCTACTCTGCCAAGCTTTTCTACCTCGACACCTCAATCTGGACACCGTAGCATCTGAGTCTTTTTGCATCAACCATCCTCCACCATTCTTATCCGTATTTTTGAGGCCCACGACGCAATATCCTGAATCACTTGTTTCTAACGGGTTAGCCTGGCCTAAGGGTGGTGGGGCTTAGGCATGGCTGATTCACTCCTAATGCTGCTGCACTGTACATGTGGGTTTTGAGCCCTATCGGATTCCTGATTTCCGAAGTCCAACGCGTTCGTGATCAAGCGTTGGGTGGCCGAAATGTACGGAGGATGACTGCATTGTTGCTGGTCACAACGCTTCACATTCCCGCCCCAAAGACAGTACAACAGTACCTCCAGATTGCCACTTAATGTGATTACTTAAGTCATTGCTTATTGCTCTGTCTTCTGCTCAGCATTGCCAACCCCCTAATGAGGTTGGACTCTGGGAAACAGAGATACCAGTCATTGTAGCGTCCAGGTTCATCGTAGCATGCGCACCGCGACTGGGTAGCAGCTGTATGTTGCCGAAACTCCCATGCTCTGGTTTTAGCGTTAACTGGTGGGATGCCGTGTACTACCAGTTTCAAATTGCGACTTACCAAAATGTATGTTGCTCTACACACTCACCATAATGCAGCCTGCCAGGTGGACAGCTTGTGATCTGAAAGAAGCGTGCCATTAGTACGATCCACTCTCTCGGAGGGGTTCCCGTGGTCCTTTCTCAACCCAGTTCGAGAGGTTACGAGCTATGACTTTCGTACCATCAATTCGTTGACAGGTTGTCTGACAAAGTGTTTAATGATGTGAACATATTAGAATGCGTGTTATAGTTTAACCCTGCCTTTCTTTATACCTTAGTGTTTTTTAAAATTGACTTGCAAGGACTACGATAGCAGAATATCAGCATCAACACTGGAGTTTTCTTTCTGACACGCGCACTCATGGCGCACTTTATTTCGATACCCTGGTAATGATGAAAATTTCTTCGGCCATACTATTTTCATCTCATCCTGTGATATCTTTATTGTTTATTAGATATTTTCACCTGAGCGATTTGCTTCCGCTGAACCTGTGGTGTATGAGCCACCCAAACAACGATTTGCATTAACATTTGTAAGGTATTCAGGACGTGCTGGTTTGCAATTGTTTTCTTGAATTCGTTGCCGATGAGATGGTTTGTAAGGCAAGAAGGGGTAGTATAGCATCAGGTCTCACAACTTCACATTTTGAGGTATTGGGAACGTGGCTTCATTCTGATCACGTCCACAGGTTTGCCTTGTGATAAAGATTTCTCCGGCCTTTCAGACGGGTTATCACAACTGCCCACGTGCTTAAGCACATTACATCACAGGTAACCTGAATGTTCAGTATGTATGTCACAGAAATCGATGCACAGCAGCAGTGTGAATTGCAGTAAGTACGTGAGCACGTTTGAATGGTGCAACCCTGTCACAGGGTAGTCAGAACGTTCACCCAACATCCAGAATATGAATTCCACGCACGTGATATCAGATTCTCGCCAACAGCAAGGTGCTGGTGGTTGATGCGACTGAAATACTAAGCCACTGTAGGCTTGCAAACAAGGCATCCGCCAAAATATTAGCATCTATGGTAAAGCCTGTCGGCGTTTTGATTTTTCTACAAGTTAGTTCAACGGGTGTTGAGGTCGTGAATCGACCATAGACATCATTTGTTTATGATGAACTGTCTGGCTTATTTGACTTGAAGAAAAGACATTAACGTTGGCAGTTCGGTCACCTGATTTCGGGTATGAGGTTATTTCAGTGTGAGTCACGCTTCGTCAAACGTACTCTTTTGAAAACGAGTTTGGTTTTAACAGGAGACTCAACTGAACTTCAACTGAATCCTTCGTTTATGGCACTCTTCAACCGAATGCGCTGCACAGCGGCCGCCACATATTTCAGTTGATGTGATATTCGTGGTATCGTGGTGTATTTTTATGAAAGAAACTGCTCATCATTTACAATTGACCAATGTCGAGCTAATTGATGAGACATATGCTTACCGGATGCCGACAGCACTATTGAAACCAACCAAGGAGCGAATTTATGGGTTCATCAGTTTTGGATGTAATTTCGTTCGAGACGAAGTTTTTTCCAGAACTGGTTAGGTGAGCATCCGAACATGTTACGGCAAGTGCACAAGGAATGAGAATTTCGGGCAACAAAATTTATCATGATCGGAAGCTAGCTAAGCCGCCTACGCTGTTACATTTATCAAAGGCTGCAGTCCTCAATGTTCAAACGACCACTGCTAAATGGGGTAGTTTCAATGCTTGTGCAACGCTGCTTTGTCGTTGAGGATTCACACGCTACCGGTCTGACTGGGAACTGGAAGTGTGGTATGTTGTCTGATCTCGTAATCGTTTTCTGTTTTTAACCCTTCTCTGTGAAAGTATTTCGACTGATGATTTGTTGGACGATTAGTAGTTGTCGTGGAAGTCAAAACCAATATAGAAATAGGCTTCGCGACTGTTGCTTTCTGCAATGTAGGGCACGTTTCCAATGTCATACATATTACAGGGAGACCTTGTATCCCCACCTTCGTGAGTCACACAGTGAGTTTTCAGTCTACCACGCATGGGATAACATGAAGGAACCTTGTAAAACGTCAACAGCTTCATCCGAATCCATTAACTTGGGTACATGGTAAGAACAACAAGGAAGGAAATTGAGGAACTTAATTTTGAATAAGTTCCTGTACAGTATAATGTAATTGATATAGTTGTGTTCATGTAAAAGGGGTGCACTATGATTCGAGCATATCACAGCCTTTATGTTTTCACGGTTTATTCCTTGAAAATGTTCTCCAATGTCAGACAACCCGTGTAAGAAAGTGTTGTTTTTGGGTAGGTTAGGTTCTGTCGTCACGAAGAAAAGCCGTGATGGAAATAGCAGGAACGAATCTCTCACTATAATGTATAGCATTATAAGGAGGCTAGTTTTGTTTTGTTCAGGTTTTCTAATTTCCTATTATTATTATTATTATTATTATTATTATTATTTCCTCCTATTACTGTAAGGTAAAAGTACGGCTATGAAACATCATGAGTACATGTCACTGTATTAAATCCCAGGAAATCTTTTGACCATATGTCAAACAGAATCGCTCAATGCTGTTAGTTTGCTTTCGGGAATTTAGGGACTTCCCGCCAAAGATAGGTGGCGCGCTGAAGAATTTGTTGCCTTTTGGGTATACTAGCGCAGGTGCGTTAGGAATATTTGCTGTGTTACATTGTGACTGCATAAAGTACTGCTAATAGTAATTGTTTAGCTATAGCACCTTTCGGTGCGTATCAGCCATACAACCCCAGAAATTGTGAGGCTAAGATACTGGCGGAAACTGAACCTCCGGTTGATCCAATCTGTAAGTCGCAGAATGTTACTGAACTAATCAGCTTTCACACTCGTAGGTAGGTATATCATCACCGATAGTTTTTGAGCTTTTTACCTGAATTTGCTTGTTTGGACCAAGCTTCGCGTGGTCCAGTGCGGAAACCCAGAGGCGATATATCTCAAGGTCGATTCGCCGCACATATTTACAGAGCCGCGGAAAATACATGATAAGTCAACTTATGTTATTCAAATTTCTCTGTACTTCTCAAAATAATTAATCGTGATTCTCATATGAACGCGTCATATCCAAACGTGTCAAAAAAATCGACCCACTTGGATGACTGGACGATTTGACGTATACAATTCAGCACCTACGAAATACTGTCGTCAAGTATTTCTCTGTTACATTGCTTTCATAAATGTGTTATGTGTGAATAAGTTTCGAGATACGACGTTTGTGGTGCTTCCTGAACCGAATTTGTATCCGTTGTTAGTTGCTTTGCATGATACAGTTATCTCCCGTTAGGAAAACACGAACCAAAAAATCTACAGGAAGCATTTTTTCACCTGTGAAGATGGTTCACCACGACAGAACTTTCGCTCAAGGAAAGTTGCAATAAGAAAAACCTTGAGGTCGTCAGTGCCCCCGGAACACGAATGATTGTAGGATGTGATCGCTAAGCTCATGGTCGTGTGTGCGATGCGTGGAATTTTCCTCTGGAGGCGGCTAGCTTGACACCAAAGGATGATGCTACTTTCAGTCTTGTGACCAGTATGTCTTGGGCTCACTGACATTATTCGTCCGTGATGCCGTTCCGATCGCACCTTTTATCCACTGGCCGTTACATTAACGCTGAGATATTTGATGCGTACTGTTCTGGCTGACCTTCGGTTTGTGCACCTACCGAATCCTGATGTGAGCAAATTTGTAGATGCGAACGGTCATTGGTTCCGGTAGCCTACAAAGTTACTCATTGTTCTCTGATCTGGTCACTTCAATTTTCCTCCCAGGTTTGTATGTTGGTAACACTGAACTGCCGGATGCTTATTCATGTGAAGCAAATATTTTTTTGATTTGGACGAGATGTTAAAACCACCATACACACCCAAGATGGCTCAAGTGTTTAGAGCGCGAATTTACTGGCCGGAAGGTCCGTGGTTCGAACCCGACCTCTGCCTCTCGACTTCCCCTGTCTAAGCTTGGGCAACTTGGCAGTATCCCAGCCCTCGTGCAACCTTCGGTTGCCATGGCAGTTGAGCATTGAAAGGATGCTACAGCTGAACGTTGTTTTTTTGTTGAACACACATGTAAGACAAATTTTCGGGTCCCAAGGCTTGAAGATGGAATCGCCGTATTTACGGACAATCCTATCAATCCCCACACGACTTGCTTGATTCAAATAGTGATCTTCACCGACCTTATCCGAGTTGGATGCTACTCTTGGGTCTCAACATTTCCGTACTTTAGCGGGCTTCCGTCCCTCCAGTTTGTATATTACCGATGCGTAGCCGAACATCCACATGTCGTATGTACTCATTCTGATCCAATAGCCTTGTGCTGCCATCCTCTGTTTGTTCGGGTATCTATATTATACTCTTCTCAGGAAACCTTGAAATTGCTTTTCTACTTTGCTCAAAATCGCCCAACGCGAAGCAAACTGCAGCAGTTTGAGTGTCTTCATGGGTCAACGGAGAAACAAGTAATCTTTTTCTTACGTCAGTAACGTTCCACGTAGTCGTCTACATGAGTCCATTTGTAGGCGTTCCCAATAAGCACAGAAAACCGAACATGGCTAACAGAACGCTTCAGGTGTTCAAGAACCCCGTGTTTGTTGAACACAGATTCCCATGAACCACGTTAAATCCTTATTTTTGAACTTCCTCATATCGCCCTTTCAAGCTGGGTGTATCCGTCTTATGGTATTGTATGCTGAGTGGTACTCGTATAGGGAGTATCTTGAAGCCTTTTTAATGATCGTTCGTGAAGCAGATCTCGAGTACCTTGCTCCTGGTGCACAGGAGGTCCTATATCCAAAATCACAATTTTAAAGTCAAAGCAAACTTGTTGAATAATGTAGTAATTGTGGACAAACCAATAATGGGTGACGAACAACAAAACAAAGATGGCTCACCAGTGTATTCCCAAGCAGTAGGTGACAGTTCTCAATTGGTACACAGCTTTTCCGGACCGGAAGGAGTCAACGGTAAATTCGCTTTTCATTTGGATGCAGAAACCCGAAGCGACTGGAAATTACCTGGTGCATGCCGTTTCCCCTAAAAATTTCGGAAATTTGTGTTTCATCCGCGGATGTTCAGTTTCAAGGGTTTCCTCCATTCTCTACAAGCTTCTGCGCTATGCGCTGTCCCATGTTAACCATCAGTCGTTCCCATCTAGATGACTACGATCCACTGACTTATGTTACCTACCCAACGCCGAATGAGTACAAAACTGAATGTACCAGTCAAAGCAACACACCTCATTATAGAGTCGATAAGTATTAAGTTTGTGTTTTCATCTCTTATTTGAGCAGTCCTCTAATTATGCACTATTCTACACACTAATTTGGTTTGGACGCGAGATTCACCGGGTACCCAGCTCAATATCTCGTTTAGGAAGTTCAACTGAATGTGCTGTATCAGGCCTCGTGTTTCATTTGATACAATATTCGAGGTATCTTAATGCCGTACTCGTTAGCTTGCTGAAAATTCCTCGACAGCCCACGATATCACAAACGAGAGATCCAACTGAGTTCCAAATGAGCCATACTGATATGCAGGTGGGTGTATAATTCGAGGTTGGTGCAATTTGGGTGCAAGCGAAACATAAGTGTGACAGAAACTCGGATACTGCGCCTAGCTGATGAGCCCCAAGAAGAGCGAAACTTGTCATGGGCTGTCGGTGTTTTTCGGCAGCCTTATTACGGGGTTAGAAGATTTTTCAGCAATCTTATGCGTAGTGTACTGCATCTGGTCTCTAATTAGTTTCACTCTTGATGGTGCGCGTCCTTGGCTGTCCCTTAATTTGAACCGTTTTTTTGGTGTTTGCTTTCACCTACATTACTGATTCCGTCGTTCGTATCGCGCTCTCCAGGCATATGTCTATTCTATCTTACCAGCAGCTCTCGCTCAAGTTAAACCTTGCTTTATCAAAAATGTGCCCCTGTTGTTGAATTTTGAATGAAAAGCTCATCCCAGATTGCTTGCGTTCAGGAACCTACACCAACAGATCGTTATTGGGGTATGTGTAAAAAAAAGTGTAATTTGATGTGTTTGTTTGACATTCCTCCCACTTTGGTCTCGGAGTACATTAACCGTCTATTGTAACCTCGGTTGGGTGACATGAAGAATGCTCGTTGGCTGTTGACTGCGCTTCCGAATCTGGAACAAGGATTTGTTTTCTCACTAATCACTGAAACATCACAGAATTCCCCCGTATCTGCTCGGGATTTCTCAGCTCTTCAACTTGTTTACGACAAACTTATGAATGAATTGTCCTTTTTATCGACCTAGCATTTGTTTGAAAATATATGGTGCTGTGTTCAAGCCAGAACGACACGTAGGTAGTAGCTGTTGTTTGTCACAATTTTCCACCGAGCTTATTGTCATTTTCATTAATCACACTGGCACGTATTCTCTTCAGTGAAGCCTGTTTCCTTCCTCTGTCTGTTTTGTCACTCCCTTTCTCACTCATCTATAGATTGCAGAATTGTCGGCTGCCAACCAGGAACTCGTCCGCAGACATCAGGCTGAAGCAGCCCGATTACTATCTACCGCTCTGCATACAACTATGCCTCCACAGTCATTGTCCCACTCTCGTCAGTGCCAGTCTAGCCGCCCAACCATTGGTGACTCCGGACCCAGTGATCTTTTGTCAGAATCACCGATTCTAACGACTGCTTTAACCAATATCCCACCTCCACCAGCTCTCACTAAAGCGTGCCCCCGACGGCAGTCACATTTTGGTCCAAATTCCAACCCCAGTGAAACCCGTGTGCCTTACAAGCTTTCGGAAGATGTTGGTCATACTCCGCGTCCCGATGCAGATCCCACAAATTCGATGTGGTCCGCGAGTGATCATCCACCCGTCCTAATCCGCTTGCGCGAACGACTGGAAGGATCTCAAATCCCACCGCCTCCCCCTTTGCTCCCCATGCACACACAATCCTCTTCTCTCAGCGTTGCTCCGATTCTCGTCCAGTCTGTCCCTACAACCTCCGTTTCGCCGTCGCGCGTATCTACCTGTAACACTGCTGCATCCACTCCTCTCAAAACTCCTATTTCTTCTAATCTGTTCTCTCTGGGCTTTCACTCACGTCAGAGCACAAAATCTATGCATACTTCTTTACAAGATCTGATTGTGGACGAGTTTTCGAAACAATCTCCTTCAGAGATCGGGCCCATTGGCAAACCGTCGATCCTCTCTTCGCAATCCACCATCCCTTGCTTGCCCCAGTTCTCACTTCCTCCTCGTAAGCGCGCTTGGGACCCCATTCATCCTCATCAGTCGGCCATTCCCCAGCCAAATGCCAAAACTCCGCGCATCTGCTCGCCAAGCACGCCACATCGCCTAGCCACTTGCACCAATCTCAGCCCGCCTACCTTATCACCTGTAGAACTGCGGACTTCGCAAAACAAGTGCGAATCAGAACATCACTTTTTACCGCACCCAAAAGCACATGTTCAACCTGATAGAGACAATAGGAATACAATTAACCTATCCACTTCAAACGTTCCACCTCCGCCTCTTTTATATTCTAGTCATATTAACTATAGTTCTAATAACTATGCGGCATCCTGTGAGAACTCAAGCTCCCCGCCCTCCTTGCCTTCCATACCAGTCATGATTGCACAAACCCTCGGTCCGTGATTGTCATCCCCGCCCTTGGGTTTGCTTTTCCCTTTCGGTTTCCCACCACATGTGTTCGGCACCCTATGTTCCGTCTACCCTTCTGTAAATGCTCCGTGTACATAATTTTCGTCCTGTTGGATTCTTTATTAGGATAATCTAACGGCACATTTTCACGACTCCTTAGCATTGTTCGCTTTATTTTTCGTTTGGTTCCTATGTCTACGTCAAGTTCACATTCATCGTCATCATGATCAACCAAGTTGGTTACATATCATTTCCAAGCGTTTAACTGTGGTCAGTATACCCCAGGTTTTGATTCTAGCTTGCAAACGGGACCCATTGGAATAGGCGTGTGTTTGATAGTGCTTACCAATTCGAGTGTGGTTCGCAATTTGTTTCTATATTAGCTCTATTCAACCTTATTTCCCTGTACACAGACGTTGTCTTTTTGACCTTAGCGATTTATTGTGAGTAATGTTTCCCTTGGCAGCAATCATGACCTTACAAGTTTGCAGCCGCTCTGCTGGACCCAGTGCACGTAGCTTATGCTTTATTCCTAGGTTTTGTACAGTTGCACATGCTGTCTTTCCTGTCCTTCCTACTATTGCACTAACTGATTGCTTGCTTCTTCCCTTAGGAGTGTACCTATCCGGTAATGCTTTGTGTGTATGTGTTGGTGATGGTCTTTTGTTCATGCTAAAAACCACCAGGCCTTTATGATTGGTAGTCTTTTTTCTATTGTGAAGCCTTTCAATGCTATTTATATTTGTCTGTTACTCTGTTATCCAACACGGTAATGTTCGTGTGGTCCTCCTATTCTACACTTCCGTACGAATTGTGAATGTTTTTACCAGAAAGTTTAATGCTTCCCTAGTACTTCTTAATTATTCTTGCTCCTAAATTACTGATAACAATATAAACTCTTCGAAATTGTTTGATTTCTGGTTTTGCCTCGTACTTTTGGGATCATCTCAGTAGATCTCGATCTAGATGCATTCCTTGTTTTTCGGGTCAGAGTTGCTTCGAATGCAAACTGTGCTGTTAGACATTCTGTGCACACTCGAATAAACTACTCGCTCAGTCCATTATGAGGGTCACCGCTGTTTCCCACTGGCAGACTGGTTTTGCTATGCTTGTTCACATGATTTAGTAAGTTTTCATGTGCTGACTGTATGGCGTCTGTTTGAATCACCGAATAACTATTTCTGTCTTTGCGGTCCAAGCGGGTTCCGTAATTACCAGACATTAAGCTCGAAGTCTTGTTGGGGGTAACTTTACAGGGCGTGCGCCACCAAGAATATGGATATCAGGTGGTAGAATTTTATGACATCCACTCTATTCGTCCCAGTTGGTTAGAGCAGAACGCGTGCTGAATTTATCATTTAAATGATTACTGACCTATGGTTGACAGGATTATGAAAGTTTAGAAATAATCAGCTTGCTATTCATCGGTGGGTGAATTCAACACTGTGAAAACGGTTTAACGGATAGTTATCAACAGGTGTGCAGCTATTCACGAGTAATTAGATTCCCAAAAGATTCTACACACGGACGAGACGAAACAACAATTCTGTTTGGCTGTGCCCGTCAGTTTTATCGTACTTTCGCCCTGTCCGGATATTAATTCTGTCAGACGACTTAACTTTCAAGTCGTCTCATCTAGCCATCTACTCTGCAGTGGTTCTAAGGCTTTCTGGTCACTTTTATCTAGAAACGAAAACCCGTTCATTATAAGTGCGTATGCATGGATGCATACAAATGAGTGCATTTCTCCAAAAATTCCCCGTTCGTACGTTTCGTGAGAAACAAGAATACGTTGCCGACGTCGGTGTTGGTGTTTCTGATGCACTACCGCGTCCTGTTATATGAGGACGCCTTGTTGCGCGCCCACAATTACTCTGGTGTGACATTTAAAATGCAGTGTGGACGCCATGTGTTATACCCCTGAGTGCACCGAATGGTGAGTATCATGTTGTTATAGCTTGGCGATGCAAAACCACAATTAGGTGTACATATAATCACAGTGAAAAGTAGGGGGAACGCCGAGCAACAGAAAACTCATTACACCGCACTGCTGCTCCTCCTACACAACTGCTAGAAATGCACTTGGCAAATGTTGTAAACTATAACCAGGATAGACATGGCGTACGTGTCGATTCTGCACCTGCTTTTTGGATAGAAAACTTGCTAGTCGTAAGCGTAAGTACACAGTTTTTGATTAATATATCCGACTAATGGTTTGCTGTGGATAACAAGACATTTGAGTACTCTTCAGCCTTGAAATGTAGTGTATGGCTTCGACTTCAGGCTTTGATGTGTTGGAAGTAATGACAAGGAGGGTTTTTTGAATTCGAGGGTCTTGGTGACCTTAAAAAATTATCCATTTAGACAAAACACTGCCAACCAGAAATCACTAAAATATTCAATTTGACCAGACCAAACACCCGAAAGCCTTGATATCAAAAGCACGAAAGCGTAGATATTACTTTTGGTTGTCCCTGGAGATCGGCTCAAAATCCAAAGGTGGGTTTGCAACGATTTCAGGCCACGCAATTTCACTTGCAAACAATCTCAACCAATAGTATGGTTTCTGTTGAACGCCATAGTGCATGTGTTTCTTTGGGTTACGGAGAATACCGCAATTTTTCCAGAACCACTCGAAATTCACTGCAACAATCCAGGGTTTCGAAAATAAGCTTCCGGAAGCGACTTCGTTGGGGCGACATGCTGTAGACCTTTCAGCAGGTTCGTTGGAATTACAGATTAGGGACTCTAGTCTTTTCAGCTCGTTCGTGTGCAAGATCTGTGTATCGTGTGGTCCAAGATTGGGGCAACCATTTATTGTTGTGCGAAAATATACCCCGGGCTAGTTGAAATACACTGCACATGAATTCCCAAAGGTCATGTCTGGGATTCAAATACAGTCAAGAATTTTCCGTTTCATCTGTAATTTCACGGAACGAAAATTTTGGTTGATCTTGACCATTTCATCACTCTTGGCTTACTCTTGATGGAGGTGATTCTGTCCCATTTATTTTAATGCCTGTGGCGGGGTCAAAAGTTTGAGATTAGATGGATGGATATAATCCAAACCATTTAGTTCAAAAGCAGCTGCCAATCCATCTGTGTGGTGCAGAAATCCAGTCTCTGTATAAAACTAATCACGTTCCAGAACCCTGTTTGTCTACCTCTTCAAAGAAGCTGTGTGTCTGAACCAAGGACACATCACTGTGATTCATTTAGGTGGAAGACATATTCGCCAAACCGCCAGGCTCCCGTTAAACTGCGCAGGTCCACAGAATTTGATACTGGCCTTCAGCGTTTTTGCGACAGTAAATATTCCACTGCGCATCCATGCAGCGAAACATAGCGTGGCCCCTCAAAATGATCTCACTGCACACCATGTTGGTTTTACCGGGAGACTCAATTGAATCTTTAGTTTATGGTGGTTTACTTCAGTTGAATACAATTAAACACTGAGGATCAGGTTACACGTTGCTCTCAGAGGCAACAACCACGTCCTTTATAGTGGTTAGAGACCGACAAGAGAACGACTTTTACGGATCTGGCAACAAGTCACCGTGCTTGAGCAGAGACAACCGATATCTTCATAGGAGATGGTCCTCCTAAATCAAAACGATAATTTAGCAGACAAATCTAGTTTACATGTTCCCTCATGTGATTAATTTTTGTGAATCACGTGGAATTAAAAGAGTAGAGTAAGGTGCTGTCCACCAACTCAACAGGCTACGTATAACAAGTACAAATTTCGAAATACACTCGTTTGCAAACAAACTTGGTTTTGCGAGAGACTCAACTGGAACCCATTGAATCTCTCGTTTGTGATGTACAAGTTTCTTTTCGACGACAGAGCGGGACGCGGCCATACAGCCATATAGAAATTCTTTCAAACTGAGGCGAATTCTCGTTCTCTGTTGTCATTCAAAATGGATGGATGGTCAAGCTTGCAAAATATTTTTGATGGACAAGATAGCACCACAACTTAACCAGCGAGTCACTCGAATGTGGTTTATTGTTGCGCCACTTCTCCTTGCAGAAGTTTATAAGGAGCAGTGCTAGTTATCGTCTGCGCATGTGCTTTCACAATTTAGAATAAATTATCACCACCACCCATCGAACCAATGTCCCGTATAAAGGGATGACTTTTCAGTTGTGTCATTCGGCGATCGGCTTGGAGGAAGGGGTAGAGGAAGCGAGCAGCAGCTGCCGTCACTATTTTTGCTCACCTTATGGTCACCTCCGTTTGTTACCCCCAACCTTATAAATGAGAAGCTGCCAGATCAGTCAACAAGCTTTCTTATGCTCTACACATTCGGTACCTTCGGCTGAAGAATTTTACCACAGCAAATGAACTAAGGTAGCGTGGTTATCTAGGCATTTGGACAACCAGTTGGATGGTGATGCTGTTATTCACTGTGGTTGCTGCGGCCAGAGGTTTACTCTCTTGGTCATCCTTACTAGATTATTGACCTTATGCTTTTGTCCAGCTGTACTGTCAAAATGTTATATAGTTATGCCTATATTATTACTGCTAAGCCGGGCTATGCAGCGGTTTTGCGTCATTGAGTGATCATTCCAGATGACTGAGAATCTGGTTTTTTGTTCTCGTTTGCATAAACATTATTCGACTTGAGTTACTCAGAAAACATTACTTTGGTATCTGGTGATGACATAAAATACAGAACACTAAGCATGTTTCTGCACTTCAAGAGGCATTTCGCATCTTTCATATGCAAAGGATTGCTCCGGGATTTTCGTCCTATTGCGAATTCTGGGGATGATCACGAAACGTACAACTAAGGTGTTTTACCCCAGGATAATGGCGTTGTTGGCCGAATTACGCATATTAGTAGGACTTTTACTTCTCATAACAGTTCCGTTTTACATAGCGGTCTTAATCGTCATTAGGTTACGGGAACTCAAGAAAATGGACTCTAAATGCATTACCGTGCACTACGCCAGGCTGTGCACCTCTTGGTTCATGCTGGGTAAACCAACCTAAAGGGGATGTGTTAAATTATTATTCTTTGGCTAGTAAATTCCACGGTGTGAAAAATGGTACGGAGTATGGTCGAATGTCCCGCGCTGGCTTGTCATCATAAGCTTCAACACAGTAGTAGCAGAAAATCACGCCTAACCGTCATACAAATATGAATAGTGAATGATCTAGTAACATGTGAAGCGGAAAGGTATTAGTGCCTGCCCGCATCTTCCAAACCAGTAGAACCAAACTCATTTGAGAATTGTGTTATGTGTCAGGCAATCCGACATTCTTTTGCGAACTTCACACAACCCAAGCCTAGTGCACAGCGACAGACGGGGTTTAGTCAAGCGGTGACATGACGTTCTCCAGTGGGATCATCTGCGTGTCGCGTTTTGTAGAACCTGTAATCAAGCACAAGAATCACGTGGAGCCCAGCAAGTATTATGTAAAGATTCAGCGGAGCTAAGATGATAGTAACCGCTTTGGCTTCATTTTCGTGTGCACCCGGAATGAGAAAACGGCTAGGCCCAACACAGCGTTTCAAACAAATATAGTATTTGTACCCATTTACCAAGACACCGCAGTACATCACGATGAGCGCCAACGTCAATGTCAATAACAAAATCCGCGCACTTGATTTTCAGCAGCTATCTGGACAGAAAAAATTCAACGCGTCGTATGCAGAACGAAAAAAACTAAGTTTGGAGGCGGTGTTCAAAGTCGAAAGGCGGTGGGTTTCCGCGGCCAATGAGCATTGAGAGAGGTGCGAGTTTGTTCGGTACTTCATGAAAAATTTCAGTGAGGCGCAAATCATCACTCAAGCTTTTACCTGACGGTCAAACACGTCGTGGAACAGTAGTGTGAAGCTGAACTTATGCGAAAATTTGA